CCAAAAAAAATGTATAATCAGAATTACTTGAAACTTGGTATTAAGCTCTTCAATATAATTAAATAAATAATTGTTTTAGAATTTTTCGAAATTCGAAATTAAGGGGGTAAAATAGAGGATGAACATTTGTATGAAACTACCTTTTTAGAGTTTTTTTTGTACTTTTAGCGCGAGCGAAGCCGTGGGTTGTGCTTGTATGTATATAATTTTGACATACTCATTGTAGTATATTATTCTAGCGCCGGTAAACAAAACAAAACCCATATTAAACAAAAGAGCTATATTTAGAAATGTTGACCGCGCGATATATGCTGATAGAGATACACCACGATAGCGAGTCGATAACAAATAACTATGTAGCACGTGCTCAATATATATGTACATTGTGGGATTATTCCTTAGATTACGAGTACCAACGTATCAACATTTACTTTCAATAAGTAACTTGTTTATATAACAATTGTTTACAAGCGATTTTTCTGGAGGTACTTGAATACAATTTTGGCAAGTTTCTTTAATCTATAATAATAATCAATAAATCACAGAATATAACAAATAATTTTTTTTAATAAGAATACACTTTAGAAAATGTTAATTTTTGAAGCTATTTAATATAAATTTAAATAAACATTAGATCAAAGACTACTATCTACCTACCTATATAATCTACATATAAATATATTTTATACATATAATAAAATTCTAAGTCCAATCTATACATTAAATATTTATTTTGGATAATCTTATTGAAATAGTTATTATTGTCGATACAGAGGCCGAATCTATAGTTTTTCGAATTTATATCTGTCTGTCTGTCTGGGAACGCATCACGAGAAAACCACTGAACAGAATTTGATGAAATTTTTTATGATACTAGTTGTTTATCCGGGTCAACATATAGGATACGTTTTACTACGGGAAAATATCTCATCTCTGAGAAATGTATAGCTTAAAACGTAAGCAGGGATGAACCCGTGCGGAACGAGGGTGAGTCGCTAGTTGATATATACAACTTATATATAAAGCTTTACCAAAACACAAGTAGGTACACTTTAAACATATATCAATATCTCGAGATCTCAAGCCAATAAGTAGTAATTAAATTAATTAAGCCGTAAAATAAAACGGGCGGTCCCGTTGCAGGATTGTCAATTTGTCACCGCCACTTAAGCGCGGTATGTGTCTATTAAATAACTTCCGCCGGCCACTTTGAGATTATCATCGGTTTAAAAATAGATTCTGATTTACTATTATTATTAATACACTTGCTGTTTTTTTTTAATAATTCAATTTAGATAACCTATACCTATAACCTTTCTCAATAAATAGGCTGTAAAATTAAAATTTCAATAGTTTCAGAGAATAGGGAAACAAACAAACACTTCAGCTTTATATATTAACAATTAGCATAGATACAACCCGCGGGCAAAAATAGTATATTCTATCTATAGGCTTTATTAACATTGACGTAGATCCACAGAAATCTTAATAATTTATTATTAAGATTTCTGTGCGTAGATCTATGCACGTCATTCATTCAAAAAATGTTATATGTAGATAGATGGTGGTACATGTATTTTAGATGTCATTCACTAAGAGCATTAAGCATTTATAATTAAAATAATATTTATGTCGTAAACGTTTATTTAGTTTGATTATTTAATAATTCATTTACTTATACTGATTCACGTTAGGTCCGCAGCTTCAACCGGTAAAAGTAAATGAGATACAAATAACGCGTATCTTTAACACCTTCAGGTAAATTTATAAGAAATTAATTAAATTTCTAAGAAATCTATTGTTAACTGACACGCCGGCTTGTCCGCGGTCGTTGAGGAAATAATACTTTCTTAGGTTTACGCGAATATTTGACATTTTAAATAAAACTATCTTTTATAGTTAGAACATTACACCTCGCGAGAACAAACTGCATTTAGAGGATGCTATTCTGCTCAAGAATATCATGCCGAAGATCCTCATCAGATCTTCACCAATTTTTTTATGAGAACAACTTAAAGTTACTACCTTTCAAATAAAAAAAAACTATCGAAATCGGATTTCATAAGGCGAAAATATCTCGTAGCCCCCTTTTCCCCCTTTTTGAAGTAAGGAGTTACCCCTCCAATCAAAAATCCCCAACGACAAAAAAAATCTATAAAGTCGTAAAACCTGTTTACCAAATTTTTGTGCAGATCGGGTGTAAAATATGACCCGTGGAGTGAGTACCAACGAACTGACAGAGGAAAGCAAATGCTAGACTTGAAACAGAGGCACTTCGTTCGCTCGGTCAATAAAACTATCTTTTCAGATTTTTTCGCGAATTTATTTTGATTTTTGGTTCTGGTTCGTTTCGAAAGCTTTACAGCAATAGTGGCCATGGATGAGACTAAACTTATACAACTGTTCAAACAACATACAGAGGATTCTAATATGAGTGATATACCCTATATTATCGTCCTATCACACAAGCTAATCGGGCAAAAGCTAGTTTTAATTGTTATGAGAGAAAAAAAATCCGCCATAATTACAATCTATAATAATAATCTATACATATAACGTCAGCGCCTACTCTTAATAGCTTATTATATCACTATAGATTAGCATACATTGTGTTTTGTTTTTACGTCATACGCATAATTAATATACGTGTTTATATACCTACTATATATTTTAGAATGTTGCTAAAATTAGAAGTGGCATCTATGTAGAAACTTTCTTCTAAACCCTTTTGAAAAATGATTTACACCTTTTAATAAAAGAAAAAAGAAGTTTATAGCTTTGTTTTACATTATTAATTATCTTTGGAAGAGGAATAGAGAAAGGAGAGAACTACTACTGATTAGAGAAAGAGAGATAAATCAAAGAGTGACATCTTATTCCTATTTATCCCTTAGGCGATTTTTAAAAAATGCATGTTTTATGTTTTTTTTTTTAATATATTATAAGTATTAATATTTTTCATCATTTCTTTTAAGTTAAAAAAAAATTAAATCAATTAGGGTTCCGTGGCTAAACAACATTGGGTCATTGAAAATCTTTGTTGTCCTTTATATCTTCTATAAGATAAGAAATATATCCAATAAATGCGTTTTTACAAATTCATTGCAAGCTCGTCAGCATTATATGCGGTTTGTACCATTTCTAAAAAAATACTCCAAGAACAAGCCTTCGTAAATCGTGAATGAAAAGTCAGTTCAGACAATACAATGTCGTGCTCCAGCATGACTTACTATATACTAAGTACTTTACATATTAAAATACTATAGGTGTATTTATTTTACAAATATTATCCAAAAGGGAGAGCAGAGTATAGGTACACTTTCTGTGGTTCATGTCTATGTGTATATTTTCTATTGCCTCAGGTTTAGGTAAATTATATATATCGTATGATATGTTATGCCATAAAATCTCGTATCCCGCGATCCCAAATAAACCATAATATGTTATAGGTACTAGCAGTACCCGCGGACTTGCCCGCGATCGAACCTCCGCTGTAAACATCAATTTTACAATAATGTATGGATAATTAATTCGTGAATTTCTAAAGGAAGTCTGCACGAATTGTTAACATTTATGATTACTGCTCCGCTCCCTTGGGTAGTAGCATGATGATGTATTGCCTATAGCCTTCCTCAATAAACGGGCTATTTAATACAAAAAGAATTTTTCAAATCGGCTTATTAGTTCCTGAGATTAGCGCGTTTAAACAAACAAACTCTGTCTTTTTATAATACTAAGTAGGTACCTATAGATATCACCACTAATGACGGATCAATAACATTTTAGCCAGCATCAGCTATTTATTTATTGTTAATCTAACTAGAGATAGATATTTGACATCACGATATTTTTGTAAATGTTAAAGTTTGTACGAGTATGTGTGTGTGTGTGTGTGTTTGCTTCTCCTTCGCGCTGAAATGAGTGAACGGATTGAGATGATATTTAGGTATGCTGTTAGGCACCTAGGGATGCGCCTTTATTTTATGTTGGAAAATGCTGGAAAATTTACGCATACCACCTGCATACAGGTGGTTGTGGGAATCACGGGAAAAGCCAGTACTACCTACTAAAACCCAACAGAACCTCACCAGTCTTAATGGGGCGCAGGATCGCTCACACACTCAACCACGATGACCTAGGAACGTGCTTGAGCGAAGCGAAAGTAAATCGCTTGTAAACAATAGGTACAATATGTTAAATTCCTATATTAGATAGTAAAGAAAACCACAGTAAAAAAATTTATACACAGTAAATACATATAAATAAATATACACGCGGGTTCTTTACGTTAGTCTGTTTGCATATTGGCGTAAACTGTTTATTCCATTGATTTTTTGATGTGCCCACGCCATCGTGACTTGCACGACTGATTCAAGATATTTACAACTTAACGTAATGGTTATCAAAGTTTGTTTACATACGTTTGAGTTTTACAAATATTAAGAATGCTAGTTTAAAATTACAATATCACTAACTTCTGAACATAAGCTGTCCGTTGGATTGAAATACAATCTGATATTTATCAGCCAGTAGTCGAAGAGTCACTAATTAATTCTATAATAATAATTGGGTGGTACAAAATAGAAATTTTACAGAATATAAATTCTCAATCTTGATTATCTATTAAGAAATACTCTGCTGTAATGGTGACATAGCTAAATAAAAAATACTGCTTTCTTAAAACCTCCATACGTAAAATAAATATTTCGTAGAGAGCATCAACAACTTAATACAAACATAAAATGGGTTAATTTTTTTTATTAAGCTGACACTAACTAACGCACATTCACTACGCACCGTCCAAACCTGTGGGGCTCGAAGCATAATATATATCATCAAAGTTCCTTATATAATCAGAGAAAAAGCTAAGGAATTATAAATTTAGTAAGACAAAAGATTGTATGGAAGATCGCAATTTCGTAAACTTCGTCAGAAGCATAATTTTAAATTACCGTTGGGAAAACATATCTTCTGTGAAAACACAATCTAATTATAATTCAACTTAGAACTAAAAACACAACTAACTCTAAACATACCTGCGAGTCCCTCAGATCAGGCTCGCTGGCAGCGGCCGGCAGGGCGTCCTCCTCTCTGTCGCCCACCCCGGACACGTCCCCCGCGCTCGCACTTAACGCTCTCCTTCTCTCTATCTTATCTTCTCTCTCCTTTTTCTCCTTGTCACTTTTACCAGTCAGGATGTACTTGGTTTTCGAGATTATGTTGAGGGGTTTGGATTTTCGGACCTGCCAACAGATAATATTCCTATTTTTCAACAATTATTTTTTATTATTATTATTTAAGTAAAAATAACTCATATAAACACTATACATACAGGCTGCCTCGTCTCAAATTTGTTTTATTTGATATCCGTCTAATATTTGCTTCAATACGTTATTGCCCATACAAAGTTTTGACACCCCCTTATAGTCATTCACAAGCTGAATTTTTAGAAGCATCATTCCCTTCATTTATTTTAAAATTATAAGAAATTCCTAGAAGGAAGAGAAGTGGTAACGAATTAAATGTGGAAAACAACATATTGCAGGTATCAATAATAGACTTGTATCAAATGAATTATCAAAATATTCATCCTTATAGGTACACTAGCATTGCCCGCGGTTCCGCCTGCGTTTAGATGACCAAGAACCAAATTCTTAGGTTTTAAATATTAGTATACTCTTAATTACAGTTTTTGTATTTTTTCTCAGAAATGAGATATTTTTCCGCGGTAAAAAGTATCCTATATGTTGACCCGGATAATCGGCTATAACCATACCAAATTTTATCAAAATCCAATACAGTAGTTTTTCTGTGATGCGGTAACAGACAGACAAAAATTCAAAAAACTATATATTCTGCCTCTGTATCGATAATACTGTCTATTTTAATAAGATTTTCCAAAAAATATTTAATGTACAGATTTGACTCAGTAAGAATTTTATTATATGTATATAGATAAATACAATAGAGAAACAAACCTTGCATTTTATAGTAGCAGGATGAACAAATTTTTCGTCGTCTTTATCCTCTGGTGGTGGAGGGTCCCGAAACCCCAACACTAGCATATCATCCAGCGATGCTTGTAAATGTTTCCTTCTCGACGGCCTCGCTTCCTCGTGACTTCGGGACGAATATACTGATACTGAATCAACACTAGCTTTACTTGTGCCAGAGATGACTGTCACATTTTCTACCGATTCATTTGATTGATAGTCGACACGACGCTGTCTCTCCTCGTATATTTCTACAGAATTAAACGTCTCTGCCACTCTATCTATATCATCTACCTCTATCTGAGAAGGAATGAACTCGTAGTGTCCCTCATTTTCTGTATACACTTGGTCGTACACTACGCCATTAAAACTTCTCGAACTAGATGGAAGATTGCCATATATATTGTTGTAATTGTAGCTGTCTTCGTCATTTCTGAGGTTGACGGGGCGCGGTAAATCATTCGCGTTAAGAATCACATCGTCCATGTTAAGAGGCCTGCCTTGACCTGCAAATCCGTCAACAACAGGAGTAGTGTTTGATAGAAACGAGCCTTCTGTTTCAAAACTGCTACAGCCGACTAAGCCAATAGGCCGTCGCGGCATCTCCTGTCGAAACCTATTGGGCGCTGCTTGCTGTCCAGCGAAGTCAACAACAAGTATTCTATCTGCAATGTTCCTGCAATCATTATGGAAGCCAATGCCAGAGTCACTGTTACTGGATGTTGTAGTTATTTCACTATGATTACTCGGTTGGGGAGAATTCGCAACAAATTCGGGTTCAATCCTCACTTCTTCGTGCCTACACGGTCTTCTATCTCGCGGCACTCTAAAGACGGGTCGGTTATTCCTTGAAAAATTACCTAAAGCTGGACTGTCTCCCTTCACTGCTAATTTTGATATTTGCTGTATTGAAGGAGTTACGCAATCGTCAGGCGGTAGAGAATACATGCCACGGATAACACCAACCACGTACTCCGCAGACGGCGGAAACTCTAAACATCTTTCTGCAACAGGATCTCTTGTGCACGATATTTGAAATTCTCTCGATCGTGGAATATGAGCCTCATGTTCCGCCATTCGTGGATCGACGGCAAATACGTGGCAGCTATGTGACGCTTCAGCTTCTAAATCAGTAATTTCAGCTGCTGTTACAAGCCCAAAAAATCGTCTGTCGGCCTCTGAACCACAACCTGCATAAACAATCCTCTCTCTTTGATATTGGGCTAGAACTTGTCCATTGGGACGTCGCAAGAGTAACGCGTTAGGAAGAACAGAAAGTAAAACAGGTGCAGCTGTGCGCCTCTCTTGCCTCAATTTTCGTACAGCTGTTCGGACATTTCCTGGAGCAGCATTTGGAGATGCTTGAGGTGTTTCTATTGTTCCTAAATAGCCAACTACTGCTCTGCACTCTAGCCTGGCTAAATGATTGGGTGTTAATTGAGCTCGAGTTAAATTCTGTAAGATTTCGTTTACACCTGATGTACTTGGAGCTGCATGACAACCTGAAATAATTTATATAAGATATAAATAGAATGATATATGTTACAATTAATATAGACAAGTGCAATAAAAAATAATATATATAATTAACTACAACACATTTGTTAATATATATTTATAAAAAAAAAATCTGCATAATCAAAAATAATATGCAAATAATATAATGAATTCAAAAATTGGTGCAGTATCACAACACTGTGCATAAATAGTGTTAAATGCACTTACATAAACTTCCATATGCACAATAGCAAATCTGCAAAAATTACATGACCTTAAAATCTTTGTTTAACAAAGCTCAATGAGAAAAGTTTTACCTGGTTTTACATTAATAATAATATAGAAAATTTACAGTTCATAATTATATTTTTAATTATCTTGTGTTTACAAGAAAAATAAAATTTACTTTATTGTTAAATTGTTAGTTTATTGTTATATTGTTGTTAAGTTGTTAAATTTACTTTATACCATGTGATTCCTTCACCCAACTATAACAATATTGTATGAAACTTGGTCATTAAACTCGACACATGAAACACTTCTTCCCTAATTTCTTTTATTGGGAAGTATTGAACATAGTATCTTGTAAACAGTAAATGAATAGAATATTCATAAAAAATATAACAACTTTAACTTGTTTACCTGGATGATGTAACATTGCTGGTTGTGGTCTGCGCCGAGGTGGAGGGTACCTGCGTCTTGTTCTAGCTCTTTCTTCAGGTTCTGTATCTTCAGTATCAGTAGGTGGAGATTCTCTAGGAGCCACACTTAGGGCAATGGGCCCTGGTGCAGCGGCAATAAGACGGGCCACCGATGCATGTGGTGCTCTAGCCACACTAGCCCCGTCAACTGCGAGCAAAGCATCGCCAGCTCGCAAACCAGCTCTCTCTGCCGGTCCACCAGCTGCCACTGCAGACACAACACAGGGTCTTTGGCCCGCGATAGTGAATCCAAATCCACCAGGACCTCTTACAACTACGACTCGACGCTCAGCAGTTCGCGATAAAGCAGCTCTACGGCGTCTCCGCCTTTGCTGTTGAGGCACCATCGCATTAAACTTTTTTGATAATGAATATTAAAATATTTTATTCACATAACAACACAGCCGAGTTTCACAAACTTTTTATTAATGAAAACATAAAATAACTAGATCAGATAGGTGTGTCAAACAATTATTCAATGTAAAGAAAACTAGAAAAACAAGAATTTCAAAGCGCAAGAAAGTTTCGAGGTCTTCTAAGTTAACTGACTTGACGTTTAGAAAGTTTGAGTACGTTCAAAAACGGCTTATAGCCACAACAAAACTTGTTTTTTACGTTCTACGCATCATTAATTTTAAAATTTAGTATTATAATACAAGTAATCCATTACGTTTACACCTAAAAAATAATATAAATCTTAAATATTTTGTATTTGAAAAACAATTATCTTTTTTGCTAGGTATTTAATACAAAAAGTTTTGTAATAGATATTATTTGGAATGAAGAATTTTAATAAACGGAACGTTGGTGACTCATTTATCAATTGTCATAATCAATTTAAGTGAAATATTGTCATTTGTCAGTGTCAAACTTGTAGATGAGTGAAACAAACCCACGTTGGTTTACTGAAAGTTTAAATTGAAATTAATAGATACTTCTTACTAAATTATTATTTTTAAATAAGTAAAAATGGCGGTAAGTCTTTTATACAATTACAGTTCCATTTAAGTAATAATTTTATTATATTTATTCCTAACCTCATCACACGTTTTATTTACAGAAAAAAGGTAAAGCTAAGATTAGTAAAATTAAACGAAATAATCAAACAACTAATAAAATGAAGAAACAAGGGAAATTAAAGCTTCAACGTCATAGACAAAAAATACAAAAACATAAGCAACCAATTCAAACACAGCCTGAATATAGTAGCGAAAGCGAATCTTCCAGTAATGAATGGGCTGATATGTTGGATGAAGAAGAACAGCAATATATAGCTAAAAGACTCGCAAAGCAACCACAATTATTATCAAATGTACCAGAAGAAGAAACAAAGTAAGTTATCTTTGATAATTTTCCCTATAATAAATGCACGCTCGCTACGCTCGGGTTTGCCCGTAAGTACGTTTCAACTGTTAGTATGGAATATGATATATTCTATAACCTTCCCCAAAAACTTGGCTATCTAATGCAAAAATAATTTTTCAAATCTGATTAGCAATTCCTAAGATTAGCGCATTCCAACTAACAAAAAAACAAACTACCTCTTTATAATATATGTATAGATAACAATAGTGGCTTATTATTAATACCCATATATATTGCCTCTTATATATTTTATACATAACATGGTGAAAGTATTTGTAAGAGTTTATTCATTTTTAAACAGTACAAATGATAGATTCCCTTAGTGACCAATACATTTTGTTATTTTTCAGACAGGGATCTAAACGCAAAAGAAAGGAGAAAGCACCTAAGTCTATGAAACAACAAAACTTAGATATGAACAATGATAGCAATTCTGATAGTGATACAGAGAATAGTGACATGGAAGAAAAATATGAACACGAGTTAGCACAAAGACCAACTAAAAAACTAAGACCTTTGCTTCCTATTAAAACAAAAGATGGAGTACAGGAAAGAGCCGAAGAGTGTGAAGGTGAACTTATTAAATATTTACAAATTATTATTAACACATACTTATGGTTGTAAATCTAAACTACATAGTTTCATTTTGTAGAATCTGAATCGGACCAAGAAAATGACAGTCAAATTAAAGAAAATCGAAATGATGGAGAGGATTCAAAATCTGATGAATCTGATGTAGAAGATAATGCAGAGCCCGATCAACCGAAGCCAGATAATAATGAAGTTACTACAGTAGAGTTGCTGGCTGCAAGGCGAGATAGATTAAGACATGAGAAGCTTAGAATTGGAGCACTATGTTCTTCATTATTAGAAAGTCCTGAGAAAAAGGTATATCCTTGTACAGTATTAATAGAAAAGTAAAACCATTAATGTACCTTTTTTTAAATATATGGTAGAATATTTAAAAAAATGACCTTTATATATTTTGTATCTTAACTTAAAATTTTGAATTTTTAGCTAAAAAATCTATTCCCAATATTATATCTCATGGAAGAAAAGCTTAAAGATGGCACACTAAATCTTATGTCAGTAAGGAAACTGGCAACATTGTCCGCTGCGGAGGTATTCCGGGATATAATACCAGACTACAAGATAAGACACCAAGACTATACAGATATCAAATGTAAGTTCTGTTCAAGTATTTACTTCGATTTAATTGAAAACCATAAAAATAAATTGAAGTTTTTAATTAAATTATTATAATTGGTAAAATTATGTTATTACTAATTAAATAAAGTACATGTAATGCTTGAAAAAAGCCATAAATTCAATACTTTTGGTATACAAAAATAGTTGCATTCAAAATGAAGTCATTTGTTATATATTATTATCTCTTTGTGAAACTCTCAAGTAATGCATTGTAACATGGGAACAAAATGGGACAACTTTTTGGCTCTAAATTCTGTTACTCCTTCAATTATAGCGTTCATTACTCTGTATAGTGTAATACTGTAGTGCAGTATCTTATTCTATATTAATAATTATATCTTTCTTTATTTTAGTAAAAAAGGACACATTAGCTTTGTATAAATATGAAAAAGAATTGTTGGAGTTCTACAAAAGGTATTTGCAGAGGCTGGAAAAGGCTACAAATGTTCTTAGAGGCAAGAAAGGTGATAATCGGTATGTTAAATATATTATTATGTACTTATTTACTCCCTTCCTTAGATTTGCCTGCAAATATATACATAACATAGACTGGGCAACAGAAAAAATGATTATCTCTTATAAACTTTGCTATCTCTTGTTTAATTTCAAGGATTCATTTCATAAAAATCCTTTCTTTTTGAGTACCCATATTAAAATTGGTGTTGTTGCACTGTTAAGATTGAGATTGTTTTCTTTATTGGCAATGAGAGGAAAATGCAACATCATTGGAAGAGATCCAAATACAAAAATATTTACTTAAATAGTTTTCAAATATTTTAATTAATATTAATATTTATCCCATACTAACAAAGTATTATGACAATATTTTTTTTTATTGTATCTTTTTTTTTCCTTTTACTTACAAATTTAAATATAATATAAATAACTGTTTTGCCATAATGAAATAAAATATTTCATATTTGCATATTTATTGTATTCAGCCCTTTTTAACATCCCACTGCTGGGTACCGGCCTCTCTTCAATACGAGGGTGATCAGTTTATAGTCCACCATATTATGTTGTGTCAACAACATACTGCCCAAACAATAACCATTACACACAATAACATATAATTCCAGCAAGCCAGACGAGTCCCAGATGAGCCTAGCTCTGGTGTCACTCCGCAGCATGTGCAGCATGCTGGCCGCGCGCCCCAACTTCAACTACGCCACCAACATAGCGCAGAGCGTGGTGCCTCTCCTCGGCTGCAGGCTGCCGGAGGCCAGGGAGGAGGTTACAGCCTGCTGCGAACAGCTGTTCAAGGAGGATAGCAAGGGAGAGATCACTCTCACTGTAAGTGCCCCTAACTTGGATATTATGACATGTTTTAGTTTAAACAAATTATTCAGGTGACTAATGACTTTGAGGAATGTCTAGATTTTTTTAAAGGAAATAATAGTTTCTGATATATATTTAATTTATAAATAGATAATATTACAGTAATATTTTGTGTAAAATTAATTAAGGTAAAGAAATGGTTCCCAGATGTTATTGTTATTGAAAAATCCAATCTCAGATAAAGAATTTTGTAGCATGTATTCAAAAATTTACAAAAACTATCGCATGTTTAAGAAAACCCCAATTTATTTATATGGAATGGCACATCTTCACTAATATATATGTAGTATTGCATTTATGTTATAAATAACTGCCTCGATGGTCTAGTAATTAGCAATTGATAACATCTATTGTATAGTTGGCTTGTCTCTGAGAGATTGACCGTCGTAGCCAAGATAGTTCAGGAGGACGTTATTGTCATTCAGTCCGGTGGGTATCCAGATCGTGCGGCTCATCAACCAGCTGGTGAAGCGTCGGGGCGAGCGCCTTCCGCCGCAAGCGCTGGACTGCCTGCTGGCGCTGGACCTTCGCGGCGTGGACCTGGACCGCGACGCCGATCTACGCCATAAGAAGAAACAAGAAGAGAAGCACAAGAAGAGGATCATCAACCTGTCCAAGAAGGAAAAGAAGGTGGGTAGAGTGACGTGGAATTGATACACGTGTTCGTTGTCGATGGTAAGATGATTCCCACCGGCTTACCTTTTAGGAATACAATATCCACCATTAATTAAACAATTTGTGACTAAATTATTACAAAGCAAGCTGGTATGTGTATGGTATATATATTATGTACTATGTCAGAAACTCTGGTGGATGTAAACATCATAAGTCATTGAAGTTTCTTCGACAGAATCGAATGTAAGTAACAACTACACTTGCATCTGCATACACATTTATACACTATATTATCTCCTGCGCACATGGATTATGTTTAAAGTAGTGGTAGGCCAGTAGGTAACGCCCTCGCTTGGTAAACCAAGTTAAGCAGGTTCTAATCCCGGATCTCACACCTCTGATATTTTAATATGCGAATCATTTTCAATATAATTACCATTTGTCTTACAGTTAGGAAAACATCTTGAGGAAACCTGCGCGTCTGAGAGAATCTAGAAAGTTTTAGTAAGACGTGAAGTCTGTAAACTCGCACTTGGTCGGCGTCGTGGGCTATGATCTGATCTCCCTCGTATTGAAGTATTGAAAGAAGGCCCATGCCCAGAGACCATGGTTTATGGTCTCAGTAAAATTAGTCGCCGTAGCGGGAACCAGACAGGAACACTTTTCTAATAAATATAATAAACCTTTTATTCCAGAGGGCAAAGAAACTTAAAGAAGTAGAGCGTGAACTCCTAGAGACGCAAGCACAGGAGAGTCAGGTGGCGCGGCAGAAGATCCTCACAGAAGTTACCAAGACTGTCTTCCACATATACTTCAGGTTGCTGAAGAGTGCTCCGAAGTCTGGACTATTGTCTGCTGCCTTGAATGGACTGGCCAAGTTAGTGATTCAATTATGTATAATTTATAAAACTATGTTTTTGTTCCAATAGGAAAATTAACCCCAACTTATTAGTAAAAAGCAAAATTATTCAAGTGACGCCCACCGCCATCTATCGGTAACAAATGTTAACTATACAAGTGAGGCGGCATCCATTTATTACGTAAGCCGTTTTCATTTCAATTTAGGACAACCCGACAATATTGTATAATTAAAATTTACAATTGTTTAATACTATTATATTAAAAGTAACAGTTTATATGTACATATGTATTTATTCGGTATCGGTGTATCGTCCCAGTTAGAACAATACAATGTAGTTGCTATAAGAATTTGGAGTGCACAAGTTGAAATATAGAAAATAAGTATAACTCGTGTCATCTAAAAAGAACGCTGGCTGTCAAGCTGAGCAGAAGCGATTTATCGGCCAAATTGGTGGTATGAGGTGGGGCGCGGGGCGGCGGCCGCGCGCCGCATGCTTGCCGGCGTGCTATTGGTTCGTCAGTTCGAAATACCATCGCGCACACAAAAGTTTTTAATTACGAAATGGTTTTATATATAGAAAAGAGAAAAATTATTTATTACGTATATTGATTTACAAAGAGAGAGTCTGATAATAATGCAGTTAATAATTTAAAAAAATGTATAAACCTATTAATTTAATTTTTTGTAAATACCTAGATTAAACATTCTACACTGAATCAAACATATTTTAATAATGAATATTAATTCTATTTAATGATATTCTATCTATTATATTTTTCAATGTCCGTATCAATAACTAATATATGAAGCCGCGAGCGAAATGCTATGAAAAATAAAATAATAGTACTTTTGTGCGGGAGTATACCCATGCGCAAACATACCTTCTCCACTTTCTTCTCAAGGTGTAAAAGTAACGACAAATAGCGTACCCGTATGCATTCGTTACTATAGCATCAGTACTCGTTACTTTTGAATCGTTACTCGTTACTTTTGATACCCGATAACATACTCGTAGAGCATCGTATCGAGTCGTGTTGCGTATGTATTGCGTGCGGTATAAATTATACGTTATACCGTATATCGTTGACGTCGCGTTGTTTTCTGTGGAATAATGCACGATCAACAAACCATTTCAATTGGAGAGTTACATGATATCCAGAACCCGTAAATTTTGATTATTTATAAATCTATATAATTTTAAAAAACTTTACTAACAATATTTTTTTATTCATAATTTTTGAAATTAAATAATAAATATAAAAATAGGTAATTTAAAAATGAATGAGTAACGGCATCTATCACGTTAGTGTGACGTCGTAATGCATATTTTATTTAAAATCAATTGCGCGAATGATTTATCAAATCATAATCTGTATGTATTACACATAATCACATGATCATGTCTCACGTAGGATAAATAGATAATTATTGTATTACAATATTGTACACAATTATTATTTTAAAAGAGCCGTTGTCGAGTTTCTCGCCGGTTCTTCTCAGCAGAAAACTTTATTCCGAGCCGGTGGTAGTTCCTAAGGGACTAACATTTAATTTTAATTTAAAACGTAAAATTGACGATTCAAAAGAGCTTGTAAAAGTTTATTTGAATAAAGTATATTTTGATTTCATTTGACATAATCATTTAGTAAAAATTATAAGTATTTGTTGGATAAAAAACTAAAAATGTGTTCTAAATATAATGGTTGTTTATAATTGAAAATTGTTTCTAAACAAAATTTCTAAGATCTGGAAATCATGCAACTCGAAATAAATAAATAAACTCTCTAATTTACTCATCAATGGTATTAAGTATTAATTGAAAGTTTTATTTTGCTGAATAAAAAATCAATAAAAACAAAAAGTACGAAAATATGTACGGAAAATGCGAGTAACGAAATGCATTCGTGAGTAATTTCGGTACTCGGTACTAGATGGCGTACCCGTTACTCAGTAACGAATACATACGGTTTGCTACAGCTCTAGTTTCTTCCAGCGTTCTTTTTAGGTGACGCGAGTTACACTTTAATTGCTGAAGTTACAGTATAATACTTTAAATAAACCTATTTTTTCGCGAATTTATTTTGATTTTTGGTTCCCAACGTTTCTAATGCTTTACAGCAATCATGGTCGCGGGAGAGAGGAAAAAATCCGAAAAGATAACTTTATTTAAAATATTACAGTATAAATTTGGCGACTTTAGCTGGTTACGTCTGTTCGATTCAGTGTTTTTAAATGCACTCTTAAAAAAAGTAGCGACGCATCGTCTCGAAAAGCTATCGCGAAACATAAGCGAAACTAAAAATGTACCTGAAAACGTACAATTGGGGTGTTTGAATTATGGAAACAGTTGAACGGATCTCGATGAAATTTGGTATAGGTAGACTATGACTTGCTACACTATACTACTATAGGCATCGGAGCGATGTCCACTGTCCAGTGATATTTTACCGCGCTTTACTCTCCCTCTACTCACCAGGTTCACCCATGTGATCAACATGGAGTACTACTCGGACCTGGTGTCCATCCTGTCCCGGCTGCTGCGCGACGCGCGCGTGGGGCGGCGCCCGCGCCTGCAGTGCGCGCGCGCCGCGCTGGCGCTGCTGGCGGGCGCCGGCGACGCGCTCAACGTGGACCCCGCCGTCTTCCATGACTACGTGTACGCTAGCGTGCTGGACTGCCATGCTGGTGAGTATACACTAGGATGGAGTGAAAAAACATTTTTTTTCTTAGCTTAGAGGTAAACTACAAATTCTACCCCCAAGCTAATAAAAAAACTGTTTTTTTTTTCGCTTCACTTTAACACACACACAGACAAAGATATATTCACTTATGTATGTATACACGACATGTATAATGTATATGTACTTTGTCAACATTAATAACTTTTTAACTGTTATCTTTTGCAAATATCTTGACATAAAAACTCAATAATAACACTTCACCTAATGAGAACTCAAACCCAAAAACCATAAATCCTAGTGAATAAACAAATTGAATAATAAATGGCATCCGCTCCCAGGATCGATCCAAATGCACACATGTCGTGTCAGAGTCATTGTGATAGATAGCTATAATCAACCAACCTGTACCGGTTCTCGTTAGCTAATACACCACTAGATTGTTAAAATGAAAAACGTTTGGGATTAACACTTGTTGCTTTTTAGTATCTGTATGCTTATTAATAAAATGATAATAGAAGTGATATGGACTTGTGAGCACGCGTAGCTTAATCGCTAGCGGTACGCGACCTAACTCATTATTATATTTAATAATGAATTACGCGTGTCTTGTAAAATGCTGAATCGTAAAATGCTGCGGTCGCACCTTACACGGCCTCTATAACAAACGGTCGTCTCGGCAGGGAGCACGGCGGAGGACGCGCCGGTCCTGGTGGAGGCGCTGTGGGCGGTGGGCGCGCGCGCGCGGCGCGTGTCGGCGGGCGTGCTGCGCGCGCTGGGCAAGCGCGCGGCGGCCGCGGCGCTGCAGCTGGCGCCGCACGCCGCGCTGGCCGCGCTCGCGCTGCTGCGCCATCTGCTGCTGGTACCCGCACATTGTTACCGCCCGAACCGGCTCATCCTAACTTGTCAGGGTATACTCGGCGCGGGATCTACACTAGGGGCACTCGGGACTAGCGCCCGGGGCGGCAAAATTCGAAGGATAAATAAATTTCTTCGCGTCGTCAAAAATGAATAATAGTTTTTTAATTTTCCAAAAAATGAATAATTAAAAAATATATCACATTTTTACATTTACTAATTATTAAAAAAATGTAACTTTATCGAAACTATCTATTTTATGCAAAATTTCGATAATAGGTCGGCTTTTGTTATATTGCCCAAGGGCGGAGTTAAGGTTGAATCCGACATTGGATATACTCGTACTAGTTTAGCCCAAGACAATCCAGTGCGGCCTAAAGACTTCATACTTACTTAGGCTTAACTAGTATGGTCTAGGCCAAACTGGTTTTGGATTTTTATTTAATTAAATTACTTTAAAAGTAAATTTTTTTCTGCTGCAACTCTGCTAATTCTATGCTGTAAAATAGCTACTCATGTTTTCTTATATTTTGTCTCCTTCGTCCTTTCTTATACTTTGAACTGTCTTTTGATTCTGCTACTCGACCTGCTGTTGGTGTGCTGTTTATTATGTTGTATTGTAGTTTTAAAGTAAATTTACACTACAAATTATAAAATGGCAACTCACCATTGCTCGTTGTAAATCCCTAGGTCCTTAACAGTAGTCTATATTACTCTAGATAATTGACATTTGTATACTAAATTTTATCCAAATCGGGCCAGCTGTCCAACCGGTAATATTAACGTGAAAGTTTATATGTACGTCTGTGCGCGAGTAGGTATCTGTTTATTTATTACTCGCTCACGATCAAACGGCGGCATGGATATTTATGACGTTTAGTAAACAAGAGAACAGTTTTCTTGTGTACTAAATTTCATACACTGTTAAGCACCTAGGGATGCTCACCAGCAAAGCCAGGATGAGTCGCTAGGTAGTAACGTAAGTGTATGTCTACCTCGTGCAGCAATCCAAAGCCGTGAGTTCCCTGCTGGACACGGAGGAGGGCGCGGGCTCCGGGCGCTACCTGCCGCTGCTGGCGGCGCCCGAGCACTGCAACGCGCACGCCGCGCGCGCGCACGAGCTGCCCGCGCTGCGCCGCCACCACCACCCCGCGCTGCGCGCCGCCGCCGCCGCGCTACTCGCCGGCGCCTGGCCGCCGGAACTGGCTAACAAGTGTGTACATACACACACACACACACACACACACACACTCGGTCACGCTCACATACAAACACGCACACACTCACACTCATACTCATGCCTCATGCCCTCGCTCACCCCCAAATACACTCAAGCATCATGGGTCTTGTCATTCCCCGCAAAGGGAGTGAGAAAACAGCATCAGGGCATTACCCTCTGGCCGTGGTATCTATCGCCGCCCACTAAAATGGGCGCGTCGTGGGGGGGGGGGGGGGTCAGCGCATACACACGTGCGCATAAACACACGCATATGCACACACGTGCAGAATTAGTGACTCCATCTCAAATTTTATCATAAACAAAATTTACAGACATAACTTTTTGACGACTTTGCTTTAATGAAATTTACGATTGTATTTCGACGGTGAAGTATCAATATAGAATAATAGCAAATAGACACATTACAGGAGGGGGATATTATTTTTGAACTTAAAACTACTTTGTATGTATTGTTATAGATACTTCACCTACAATTTTATTCTGTCATCGCTGGTTTACTGACAATCCATTATTTTAAAATATTTATTTCATTATAAAAATATTGATTATAATCTCTATTTAAAATATTTTTACAGAACCCCAATGCAAATCCTGAAAGAGTACGACGGGTCTGAGATGGCGTTCAAGCCCGCCGTGCCGCCGCCCAAACCCAACCCGCCCAAGAGCAAGCCCTCCAACAACTGGAGCTCGCAGGACTTCAAAGCTTACTGTACTAGTATTGAAGATAACGTAGACTTAAGTTTCAGTGACAATGTCAGATGATTGAATATATTTTTATTGCCTTAGATTGTATTTTATTTCGTAACTTGATATTTTTCAAGTTATACTTCTTTTGGAACGTTTGGAAAAATATGAGAGTAATTTTTTCACGCCCGACAGCTAAACAATGACATGATGAAGTTAGCTGTATTTCTTTTACAGAGTTGTGACATACGGGATGAAATCTTTAGCTATTTTTGTTCTGTTACGCCAAAGAAGTATAACTTCATACGTGCGTACATAAGTACACGCACACACGGTTTCTTTACTATAGTTTAATTTAAAGTATGCATTTTGATAGTGTAAAACATCAATCAAAAAAGTACAATATACACAATCCCATACAAAAGTTCTCTTTAAAACTGTCACCAATTGTGTTTAGGTGATTGTTCTAGTTGAAATAAATATACAACAATGTAAATTGAACTTTGAGCGCAATGCTTAAAGTTGTTTTCACAAAATATGAAAAGCGCGCTCATCGGTGGGGACATTTTTTGTTGCTGGTTGTGTATCTAATACTTTTTTGATCAATGGTGTTAAAGTATTACATGAATAGATAAAAACATTACTAATCAGAAGTCAATAAGACAACCCATATAAAGATATTTTACAAACATATCAGAAATATTTTTCATTTAGCACGAGTTCAAAATTCATCTTGCATGATAATTAATAGCACAATTTCAATTATAATCAGTAAAACTACATAAATTTGATTTAATGTTCTTTTCTTCAAATTCATACTAATATTATAAATGTGAAAGTGTGTTTGTTTGTCCTTCTTTCACGTCGAAACGGAATGAGGGATTAGCGTGATTTTTTGTGTGTAGATAGTTGGGAGGGCTGGAGAGTGACATAACTTTTTACCGCGGGCTATTAAAGGGAGCGGAATTGAGCGAAAAGGCGCAAACGGAGCGGAGTTGAGCGAAACTGAACTGAACTCATTGTAGGCACGGACAACGCGATAGACACGAGTGAAGACGTAATTACGAAAATAAAGGACAAGATAAATGTGAGGGACTCTGGCCTACAAATTGCAAAATTGAGAAAAATCAAAGACCAGACGGTGTTAATTGGTTGCGAGAAGGTCTCTTAAGAGAGACTCTAGAACAACACAATTTCAAGGTGGAGACCAAAGAAAACAAGGACCCGTTAGTTATTATAAGAAATATTACAACTAGCATCACGGATAAAGGCATCTTACAAGCTTTATGCCCAATTTCACCAACGTCACCTAAGTTTAAGGGATCCCCTAAACATGGTTAGGGGACGGTTTCTGTTTCACCGAAAGTTAGGGGTCACTTAAATGTTAAAAGGCCCCCTAAATTTAGGTGCTCTAAATATGGGCTTATGACGATCGTAAAACGAAATTTAATTTAGGGGCTAGTTTAGGGGACTTTTAAGCCAGGGATCCCATACGTAGGTGGTAGCTTATGGGTTGTTAGTGAAATCGGGCATTAGAAATGCAAAACCCAGAAACATTAGACCCAATCCCAATGAAGCATTAAAGGATGAAGATCTGACACAGAAGGAAAGTTAAAAACCCAATGGAAAACCACGTAGTTTTACAAGTATCGCCACAAGTGCGGCAGGCAATGAAAGCTGCAGGGAAGACTGATAATGAATATTAAGATGTACCTAAACAACACGGAATAAAAGGCCTTTTTACGTTAATAAATATTTTATTTTATTAATCAAATGACATTAAAAGTTAAAACAAAAACAATATAAACTTTGACCATATCTCACACGGTAGGTGCTAGGCAGGTGCTATACCGGTGGGTGTTCACTGGCCGATTTTCTCGTGCCAGTCCGCCAGCGCAGCCCGAACGCGGCACAGGCGCAGCTCCCGCGCCTCCTCCAACGCGCGCGCGCCGGACGCCGCCTGCGCCGCGATGTACTGCTGCAGCTCCGACAGCCGCGTGCGCCACCTGACACGTGTTATTGGTATATTATATGGTGCAACCGAAACATATTTTACTCCAGTCAGGAGTATTTACATTTGTGATATGTATATATTTAAAGTTATATATGTGTAGTGTATCAACTATCTGGTATCCATAGCACAAGCCTCGTAGCTTACCATGGAACTAGATGGTGATGTGTGTTAATGTCCCATCATATTTATTAACTCACATGTCATCCTGCCGAAGCCAGTAGTCCCTGTCGGCGAGCACCCTGGCGTGGCGCTCGGCCTGCGCCCTCAGCCGCTCGGCCTGCGCCCTCACGGCCGCCTCGCGCGCCGCGCCCGCAGCCGCCTCCTCCGCCTCGCGTGCGCGCTCCGCTGACAAAGACTCCTGCTCCGCTTGAACCACTGTGTTCAGCTCGGTGATCTTTGCTCGGCTCTCTTCCTGTTTTATTGAAAATCATTTTAGATGTTGCCATATATTAAAATTGTTATAAGGGATGGATTTTGTTTATGATTTTTAATTAAATGTAGCTTTGGCCTTTTAAGGTCAAAATCTATACAGATAAATAAAATTGAGGTGTCTGTTTGTAATGTCAACATAACAGATTTTTAATTTTTATGTATTTAACATATGAAAGCATATAATATACTTATAATTAAAAAACTCATGAATTTGTGTACAAAATCCGCGTACCTACGGACGCACCCGAGCGAAGCGAGAGGAAGTCACTAGTTATGTATTATAACATTAATATAATTGTTTATCGAATAACCTAGGTTCCAGGTAATAAATTATTAAAACTTAACTTAATAATATAAAAACACTTTCCACAAAGTAAATAATGAGTGCATCGGTGTCATGAAGTGAGGTATTATTGTGTCAGGTAGTGGAGCAGTTAGGTATAGCAAGATAGATCTGTAGCAGGGCTCGGAAACCCGTTTAATTTTTAAACCGGTTTTGGTCTTTGTTTAACTCGCGTCTTGTAAAAAGAACGCAGGAAGAAAGTGGAGAGGGTATGTTTGCGCATGGGTATACTCGCGCACAAAAGTACTAAGCCTATTATTTTATTTTTCATAGCATTTCGCTCACGGCTTCATATATCATAGTTATTGGTAGGGACATTGAAAAATATATTATATAAAAATATTAATTTTTTATTTTAAATAGAATCATCATCCTTGGTCATTAAATAGAATTCGTAATTTTTTTTTTATTCGTAATTCGTTCGTTTTACATGACGCGAGTTATTATACATTGAATAATATATTAGATAGAATATCATTAAATAGAATTCTATTCATAATTAAAATATGTTTGATTCAGTGTAGAATGTTTAATCTAGTTACAAAAAATGAAATTAATACGTTTAATATATTTTCTTTAATTATTAACTGCATTATTATCAGACTCTTTATATAACAATATACATCAAAAATAATTTTTCTCTCTTTTCTATGTATAAAACCATTTCGTAATTAAACACTTTTGTGTGCGCGATGGTATTTTGAACGAACGAACCAATAGCGCGCCGGCAAGCATGCGGCGTTATACGTTCTTTAACCAGTTAAATCCGGAACATCGGTTTTTGACGAATTTAGGTTTCCATGAACAAAAATAACTGGTTAAAATGAGTTTTTGCGTGTTTACATTGCGCGCGTTTTTGCTAATAGTGAATGGCTTAGTAGCCATATGAACGTTTCTTACTTACGAATGAATTACCGGTTTATTTCGGTATCAAAACCGAAATCTAACCTTTCTCTAAGAATAACCGTTAACCATTATTATATCGGTTTGCTAAACCGTTCGTTTCATTATTCAAATAAAGAAACCGTTTTAACATAGAGTATGATATGACGTGTCGGGTAGTGAGACATAAATAAAGTGCAGTACTGACGAGCATGGCTCGGCGCTGGCGGCCGAGCTTGCAGCGGTCGCGCGCGGCTGCGGCGCGGCGCTGCGCCAGCGCGGCGGCCTGCTCGCGCAGCGCGCCCACCGCGCCCTGCACGCGCGCCGCGCACGCCGCCTCCATCAGCGATCTGTTGGATGTCAATTTATGTTAGAATCAATGAAATTAAAAATTATTTATTTACATGTACACATACTTTTATAAAAATCTCTAATAAACTATATACAGGTGCATTTTTGAGACGGTACAATACGGGCGGGTACCTTAACTGCTATAGTTACAGGAAAACGTTCCTAGGAGACCATCCATAACTTTTTGAGATATTCTAAACTGCATTCACAGATTTTCAAAAAAATGTACAGTCAGCGAAAATAATGCTAAAATACTAAAAAAATAAAATTTATGCCATTCGATCCTATTTCATATAGGGATTACTCTATGGGACCGTTTAAGATGTGAGTACTAGAAATGACAGACCTCAGAATCGCCAAAAACTTTTGCCATACATTTCAGTAAGAAAGTCAATCTTCTACACTGGCCAAACTTTTTGTTCTGGATAGATTATCCACTATAAAAAAGATTGTGTGTGTATGTACATGCGTCACAAAATCCGACAGTTAAAAAATAAGATCAATTTCCAAAATCTAATTCCACTCGGAACAACTGAACAATGAATCAAATATAATGTATATAAAATAGCACAAACGTCTCGTCCACCGCGAGCTCGGCCAGCGCGGGCAGCTGCGCCGTCAGGTGGATGAGCCCCTGCTGGTACTCCACGCAGCTGTCCAGGGTCTTCTTCTGCCACAGCGCCAGCTCCGTCTCCTTGCTCAGCACCATCTGGTGGGGTCAAAGATGGTGTTATTTTATTTATTTATTTAGATCCACTAGTGATTATTACATTGAAACATTTTTAAATTAACGACACAATTTAACTTAATCCTAAATGCATTACCTTTTAAAGTGGATATAGCATGCATTAATTTAAAACACAATTTTAAATTTCAATAAATTAAAATATAAATAAAATTACAATAACATCACTCACTACCTATTAATTATCGTAATTGAAAAGAAAACACACATACATTAAAGCTATTAAATAATTTGGAAGCGTTAAACTTCAATAAATAATAAAATTAAAATTAAATTATTGACACATTAATTTAGTAAAAATTACATTGAAAGTGCCTAAAATAATTAAATTGTATGACAAATTGTGAAGTTCAGTCTAAAGCTGAATTATATAGAATTACTAGCGGCTCACCCTCGCTTCGCTCGGGTTCGTCGCTAGGTACGTTTTAAATAGATATAAAAAGTTATTAGCCAGCGTAAGCCATATAAATTTTAATTTTTTTTCGTTAATTATTCTGATGTTTTAATACTTACCTATTCCGGACTAAGAGAAATCCAATCATAAAAATTGGAACGCGGTCGAACGGGATAAAAAGTATCGTATGTCCGTCTCTGGGTTCTAAGCTACCTCCCCGCCAATTTTCAGCCAAATCGGTTCAGCCGTTCTGGAGGTATAAATAGTGTAACTAACACGACTTTCTTTTATATATATATATATATATATATATATATATATATATATAAGATTTGATTACAATACAAGAGAACACTTTATTACGATACTTTTGCAATGAGTCCCCAAATATTGTATGTTTGTTTACTATTAGAGGATACTCCTAACCATTATAGATCTGATGGGGTCATGGGTAGTGTTATGTTCGGGTACAGTTTCAATTGAATGATAATCTTGATCTTTGTGGAGTATGAGATATTAATAATTGCCAAAGGAATTTTTGAAGTAGATACCCCATTACATTTTTCATTTTTGTGTGATTTTACTGCATTTTTTTATTGTTGTGAAAGATTGTGGGTAGTATGGAATCCAAGATTAAAGCACCAGGGGTTTGAGATGAAGTTGGAAATTATGTAGGACTTAAGTTCAATCTTGTTTAAACCTCTTGTTTCATAATATTTTTTCTAATTCTTTTAAAGATTTCTGTACTACACAATATAATATCTTTAAATTACATACAAACTGAAACATAGATCCAACTCAGATACGGTAGGCGAGTAGTCTCTTCAGCCTTCGCATTATTTCCTTATATTTTATTTTGTGCCCAAATACTTTCAAAATTCACAAAGCTTTATCTACACTACTATCATAAAGAGGAAAGAATTTTATATTTTTGTATGTTTGTAACGAATATAGGTACTCAAAAACTACTAAACCGATTTAGATGAAATTTGGTAAAAAGATAGTTTGAGACCCTGGGAAGAATATAGGATAGGTTTTATTCCAGAAATCATCCCTTAAGGAGGTGAAAATTGGGATGAAAGTTTGTATGGGAAACCGGAATTGTTTGTATAGGTATGAACCCGAGTGAAGCGAAGGTGAGTCGCTAGTACGCATATATACATATATTAAAGTGCACCTTGGATATCTGGTCGGCGAGCGCGATCTTGGAGTCGTGCACGCGCAGCGCGTAGTCCACGTCGTCCAGCAGGCGCGCGCGCTCCGCCCGCGACAGCGCCTGCGCCGCCACCTGCGCGCTCACCGCCGCCAGCGACCGCCTGCGACGGCACGCACATACACACACGTCGTAAGTATCGCTATATAGTATAAAACAATGTCGCTTCCCGCTGTCTGTCCCTATGTATGCTTACATCATTAAAACTACGCAACGGATTTTGATGCGGTGTTTTTAATTCAAGAGGAATGTTTTAGTATATAATTTGTTAAATTTTTGTATACATTGGCTAAAATATAACTATATTTGTTGGAGATGTCGAAAAAAATAAGCCACCTGGGAGCTTCAAACGAAAACGCTGCCTACCCTTTGAGATATAACAATATTCTAATGTATCTTATATAGGTCTACAGAAAAGTCCGCGATGGCATATGTCTATCTCTTAATTAAGGCTAACATACTATATCCATTTTAAATGAAAACTATTAATGTATATAGTAGTATAATTAATGTATATAGTATATACCGAGTTCTATTAAATACGAAGTAAAACTAAATTATATATTTTTAATAGAGTTCATTCCAAAGAGTAGGACCAACCTATATTACAATTATTATAACAGTATGATGCAAGTTTTAGAAAAGACGCCCCTAGATAATTTTCATTAGGATTCCCTAGCTAAAAAGCTAAAATAAAATTATAATTTATCCATCTATATATCACAGTAATATTACTCAGAGAATATTAGAATTATATTGCTGAAAAACATGTAAGTACCTATATCATATATATTGTTAGAAAATTTTGTCAAATTACAATATAAAGGGATCCTTCCAAAAAATGTGAACCTACATGAGTGAAATGCCGCCCCTGTTTTATGCCGCTTATTTGCATTTTAGGTGACTTTAGATTGCAATTAAATAAAGGAAATAACTTTATGTGTTTATTACTGTCACAGATTACCTACTCGTTTGAGAGTGTGCTAGTGAGTGCCCGTTCTGCTTGAGTGCTTGTTTTTATATTTCCCTATGTCGAACACCTACAGCATCATAGCACCGCACGAGCCTGAATATAATAACATAAAGTATATTTGTAATACTAACGTAGCCTGCTCAATCTCCACATCGAGTGCTCGGACAGTCTCCGCCATCTCCTTGGCCAGGTCGCGCTGGATCGCGAGGTGGTCGCGCTGGCGGCGGCGCGCGGCGCGGCGCTCCCGCAGCGCGGCGCCCAGCGCGTCGCGGCGCTGCGCCACGCGCGCCTCCTGCGCCCGCGCCGCCAGCTCCGCCTCGTCCTCCAGGCACGCTTCATACTCTGGAATTATATAATTGTAAGTGCTGTGACCCTGTGGGGGACAGAATAAATGGTAGGCATTTCGCCTGCACGCAAGTATTAGGCCACGCACACTTTAGATACGTTTTCGTCCGAATTTTACTCGTGCGAACACGCACGAATGATCCCGAGCTTTCTAGTACTATGGAGCGCGCAGACTGTGTGGCGCCTTTAAAAATTCTTTCACAAATAGAAAGCTATATTACCACCAGACACCAAGTCACATTTATAATATTAATTGGATGTATATAAATTGTATAGATTTCCTCATGACTTACTATTAATAACCTGCTGTAACTCGGCTATCTTTTCTTCATCATTTCCCAGCAGAGATTTAAGGTTTAACAAATATTCCTCGTTCAAGTCCTCAAATTGATGTCCAGGGTTTTGGAACCTGTATTTTGGAATTGAAATCTGTTTGTAATATCAAAATAACAGCTTTGTAGTAAATGCATATGAAATTATATACAAAAAAGCAAACACAATTTTTTTTACATTGTCTGTCTGTCTGTTCCGGTTAATCTCCGAAACGGCGGGACTGATTTTGACGGCATTTCCACTGGCAGGTAGCTGATGTTATAAGGAGTAACTTAGGCTACTTTTATTTTAGAAAAAGAATAAGGGTCCCACTTAAAAAAATAAAACATACCTCAGGACGAATCTAAGTGAAGACTATCATCAAACTCAGATTATTTAAAATAAAATATTATTGAAGTGAAACTTTTTTAGGCGCGCCATGAGAGGGAAAAAAGTATTGGCGTTACGATTTTTAATAAATAAGCAATGAAAAATTATTTAAAGTATTAAATCCTGAATATTAAAAAGAATAAATTAAATAAAAATAGATATTTATAAAAATCATTTATTTTTTAAGGCATTTATTTTTAAATGAGCGATGGAATCACATCAAATGAATATTGATAAAAAATTATTTACTTGATATATTTTTTTTTCACTAAAAATCTTGCATCTCTGTATCATTATTTGTTTTATTCGAATATATAATTAATTGAATCATTACAACATTTGATTTGAAAATAAATTTTTACCTTAACACCATCTGTACTGTGTGTCAATAAAAAAAGTACTAGATACACAAACAGCGACAAAAAATCACCTCAACAAGTGAGTGCTCATTTGAACATTTGAGTGTTTTAATATATTTTCTTTTCGTGAAAACAACTTTAAAAATTGCATTTAAGGTCCAATTTACGTTGTTTTATATTTATTTCAAGTAGAATAATCATCTAAACACAATTAGTGACAGTTTTAAGAAAAATTTTGCATGGAATTGTGTATTTAGTACTTCTTTGATCAAAGGTACTAGGTGAATAATAAAATATTGTTTTCCTTTTTAAATCATTACATATTTTTTTTGTATTTCTCCTATCCTAATTACTTAAAACAAATTGAATTTAATAAATAGTACCGATATCCTACAGAAGTTTCACTTCTTACTACACAATACACATTGATACATGCACTCTTTCATTTTTTTATTTAGTTTTAAAGTTTAAAGTATTTAATTTTTGATAAATTACTTTTTGATCTGCTTTATAAATTTGTCCAAACAGAATAAAGTCTTTAAATAAAAAATATCTATTCGGATTTTTGGCGTATTTGTTTTGATTTTTGAATTCTGACGTTTCGTATACTTTACAGCAATCATGATCGCGAAAAAAACCGCGAAGAACCCCGAAAAGATAGTTTAATTTAAAATGTCAAATATTCGCGTAAATCTAAGAAAATAAAGCGTACCTCATCCAACACTTATATAGATAGTCACGTCGCAAGCAGGAGAGCTCGTCTTTGCCCACATACAACCATTCGTCTGACACTGGCTTTTCCTGCAAATAATATTTATTGTAATATATAATATATAATTTTACACATTTAAATTTAATGTAAATTTAATTTAAATAGAATTTTACAGACACTTAAATATTTCTAAAAAGATGATTCTTTATACAAAATGAAGTGCAGACTGTAGTCAGATTTTATTAAAAAATATGCAAAGTCAACAACATTAGCAGCATTTTTTTTTTAGTTTTATTTTATGTTTTCTGTACCACGGCACTCTGTTAGACACAAGAATAAGCCACTGCTGTCTGATACTTATATCTGTTTAGGCTTTTTAGCTCGGTGAAACACTTCTCAGGTAGGTTCCCATTATCAGCAGTTATTAAAAAAATATAATAAACTAGCAGAACCCGCGGCTTTGCCTGCATTCAAAGTACAAAAAAACCAACTTTTCTTTCCCTTCCCTTTACAATAATGTATGAAAGGCTGCCCGATTTATTGACATTTATGATTACTGCTCCTCTCTCTTGAATACTACCCAAGCATATATACAGCCTTCCTCAATAACCGGCTATCTAATGCAAAAAGAATTTTTCAAATCACATTAGTAGTTCCTGAGATTTGCACATTCAAACCAACAAACTAACAAACTCTGCCTCTTTATACATAGTATTACTAGTAGTATAGATTCCAATACCACCATTATTTCATTAACTTCAGTAAAAAATGATTTTATGATTTAAAAAAAAAATTGGATATCAACAACATTACTACTGTTTTGGGTCATAAATACACCAAAACAATTTCGTCAGAATTAAGATGTACCTGTGTTTTTATTTCTTCTCATTGGACATTGGAATTTTATATATAAACATATATTTAGCTGTACTTACAATATCAGAAACTAGATCCAATAAGTAGCCAATGAGGGCTAAAGCATGTGGAAAGGCATGGAGAGTGTTGACCGTCTTTAGCCAGGACTTGGAAACTGCACCCGGATACAACAGTCTCTTGGACAAGTGCGGTAACTGAAAATGATTTTTGTTTTTTTATTATTAAAATATTAATATTAACATTAAAAAAGACTATAAATATTATCTAAATTTTTGCTTTTAAAATAAAATCGCATTATAAGTTATAGTTTTTAGCTGACAAAGAAAGATTTTAACACCATGTTTTTTATTAGTTAATGAAATGAAGAAAGATAAAAGCAGAGTTCTTTTTAGTAAATTTATTTTTCCAAAGAGATTAAACGGGCAGTTTAGAGTCAAGATCTCATAATCCACCCCTAACTGGAGAATGTAATATAAATAACTCACCTTAGTAACATAATTATCATTATTCAACTTTGAATCTTTTGATATTGCACCAAGTAAATCACCAACAATGTTCACAAACTGAGTGATAGTCAATGGCCGGACCAGGGTTTTGCCCCCACCTTCTCCCCGCACTGCTAATGCCTCCACCACACGGGTATACTCTGATCTTTGCCATGCTACATTTGAGATGGGTCTAAAAATAATATGAACATAAATAAAATTCATCTATTCAAATGCGATCTAAACATTAAAAATACACAACAAGAATATGTAGAACTGCTGAAAATGGCTTTGAGTTCTGCAAGATTAGATTAGATCAAGTTAGCCTCTCTCAAATATTTAATTTAGGCTTCAAATAACGGTTCAAAGCTTAGTGCTAGTTTTGAAATCAATATATGATTCCGTTCATGTGATTTTTATTAGTACCATGATATGTGTATAGCCTCCCTCAATAAACAGGCTATATAATGCAAGAAGATTTTTTCAAATAGAAATAGTAGTTCCTGATATTAGCATGTTCAAACAAACAAACTCTGACTCTTTATAATATTAGTATAGATTTATACCTCTGATCTTTAACAGTGACAAATGCAAGTGCTCTTTCGAGGGATGTTTTCCAGCTTCTATCTAAACGGTCTCCAGATGGAGTTCTCTGCAATATAATATATAGAAAATAGTAATGGCAGTTCAGAAAATTCTATATTGAGAAAAAGAAATGAAATTTTAAAATGAAATGAAAATATTTTCAAATATGTGGCAATTAATTACAGATAAATAGATATGATAAATAATAATAAGATAGATTAGTGAAGTTCACAAAATATACCACTGGTGTTGTTGTTGGTCTCAAATAATGACTTGTTCGCAGTGGAGTAGTGGGAGCTTGGCCATATTTATCTTCACTTGTCTGCGATCGGGATCTCTGAAAAATTGTGAAGAAATGTAATATATTATCCAATAAAAATGTAGATTACCTATTTCTCTACAATTTTAAATAAAACCTTTTGCAGAAATTGATGTTAAATATAAATAATTATACATCTACCGCATTTAATGGTAATTTGGTGGCAGAGGCCTCTCTACTTAAACGAGCACCAAAAGTTCCTCGAGCAGGTTCAGCGCTACTTGAACGATGTCCTGCAGTGGATGGCCGACGAGCCTCAGTTGATAATCGGTCTGTGGAGCCTGGACGACGCGGTTTTGGTAGTAGTGACGGTTTTCCTTCAAGTCTATAAGTTATTGAACTTTTTAAATTAAAAATAGGTAATTTTGAAAATTAATACATAATAAGTATTATGAAAATTAATTACCTTGACTTGCGATTAACTGAAGATTGTCCAGAGGCAAACCTATGTGGTAACATAGTTAATTTTATTTTGTTACTGAACTAATTTATTATTTATTTTGAATTCAATCGGCGATAAAACGACAACCGTTTAACGTTTACTCATATTTCAAATTTGATTAACCACAGATTATGGAGGAGAGTAAAGATGTGTCAACTCGAGTTGGGCTTAACTCGAACTAACTCGAGTTGAATTCTCTCTGACTCGAATTGGATTTGCGTGGTAAATGAACGAATCAAGCGAGTACGCGATTGACCTTACGCAAGCTCGGCGGTTCGTTCGTTGTGTTCATGCTTTGTACAGTCGTCAGGACTTCAGACTATACATTTATGTTGCAAAATCGCTCCTATTACAACCGAATAAGATGCCACAGTATTTAACTAAATCGCTGTCGTCCGTACTCCCGTCATAGCGTATCAACCAAATGACAGCGTTATAATATCCATACTAATATTATAAATGTAAAATTATGTTTGTTTGTTTGTCCTTCTTTCACGTCGAAACGGAGTAACGGTCTGGGGTAATTTTTTGGGTGAAGATAGTTCATAGTTGGAGGGCTGGAGAGTGGTATAGACTACTTTTTACCGCGGAAGATTAACTAATTTCTACGGGAAAACACGTTATAATACAACCCAAAAAATATTTATGATCAGAATTACTTGAAACTTGGTATTAACGCTCTTCAATACAATTAAATAAATATATGTTTTAGCATTCTTCGAAATTTATCCCGTAAGAGGGTAAAATAGCGGATGAAATTTTGTATGAAACCTACCTTTTTAGTGTTTTTTGTAGTTTTAGCGCAAGCGAATCCGCGGGTTCTGCTAGTAATAATATAACTAAATAAATATAAATAATTATAATTGTCCCAATAAATATCTATTTAGAATCTGTACTATTTTTTAATATTGTTGCGAAGCAGTTATTAAATTGGTACAAATAAAACAAATCATTCACTTCATTTTTCATCCAGTTAACTCGAGTTACGTAACTCGAGTTACGTGAATTTCAACTCGAGTTAAATCGAGTTATATTTTTTCCGAGTGGCACATCACTAGAGGAGAGTGGAGAATAATCTAATGCAGTGTCACCAACTATTCAAAAACAATACTCCTAAAGCACAAAACTTCCGGCGAAATAATTAACAATTTTTTTATATTATCAAACAAGTTGAAATAATAACCTGATAAAATCAACCATTTTATTAAAAATTATTAAAAATTAAATGTGGCACTCGGAGACTGCCGCGGTAAAGCTATTGCATAGCATTTTTTATCAACTTATGCAATTATAATTATTTATTTATTTTATTAGTATTTCACGCCATCTAGTTCCATGGTAAGCTATGAGGCCTGTGTTATGGATACCAGATAGTTGATACACTACACATATATAACTTTAAATACATACATATTATAAATATAAACACCCATGACTGGAGTACAAACATTCGACAACACACAAATGAATGCCCCTAGCGGGACTCGAACCCGCGACCGCTGGCACAGAAAATAGGGTCACTACAAACTGAGCCAAGCGTGTCGTCAAACGTGACTTAAAACATAAATATCAAACTACTATTTTGTTTTGTTGCGCCATCTAGTGACCATATTCTTATAGCTGTGAATAAAAGTCGCGTAAGACAGCTAGTTCGTAGTTTTTATACAAGATGGCACTAGCTCATAAAAATAAACTTTCTCACAAACAGCTGATTACGGCAGTTTTCCAATACAACCAATGACCTACCCTACCCCAGCCTGCAAATTTATGATATTCGCAATGAAAAAAATACTAATCGATAGATTTTTAATAGCTCAATTCAACTACGTAGCCCTTCCAAATTGCTCACCATTAATTATAAAATTAAAAATCAATAAAGTCCTTGAAAAAAAATTCATTTATGCGTATATTCAAATTTCTATATCTTTTGATATATACAATATTTTAAATTGCTCAAAGTTCTAAAATACTGCTCAAGTTGCATTTGTAATTGCTCAAGTAGAGTTCTCACCAGCTCCACTTTCCTTAATTATTAAATAAATATAAATAGTTTGAATAAATTGAATAAAATAAAAAAAGTTCCGTCTTGTATTGATGTTAATAACATTTTACTAATGATCCCTGCCATGGCTTAATAGCCATTAAGGTAATCCTTAATAGAATAAGCATTTGAACATAAGATTTTGTCTTAATTTATCTGTTGGTATTAATTTTCATTTATTGGTAGATTCCAGATCTGTTCTTTATGTTATAATATCTGAAGTGGAATCACGTAATGTGAACAATTCATAAATTCAATAAATTTAAAGAAATCCACCGAGAAACAGAATTAAGACGTTGAATTGGAACGATTGTCCAAGCCCGCCGAGGCCGACCGACAATGCGCGGTGCGCATGCGCACGCTCACTTAACCTACGTTACATTTATTACAACTATACTTTTAATTATTTAATAATCTGCGAAAGTGGAGCTGGTAAAAACTCTACTTGAGCAATTACAAATGCAACTTGAGCAGTGTTTTAGAACTTTGAGCAATTTGAAATATTGTATACATCAAAAGATATAGGAGTTTGAATATACAGATAAATTAATTTTTTTTCAAAGACTTTATTGATTTTTAATTAAATAATTAAAGGTGAGCAATTTGAAAGGGCTACGTAGTTAAATTGAGCTATTGAAAATCTATCGATTAGTATTTTTTTCATTGCAAATATCATAAATTTGCAGGCTGGGGTAGGGTAGGTCAACCAATGCCACTTAAAGGCGGGTTGCTGAACTAAAGAGACAAGCGTGATATTTCAAAAAGTCATTAAAAGTTCTGGTATTTATCGATAGATGGAAGTATCACCGCTGTGCCGGTCGGAGTGGGGGGTGTCAGGTTTTTTTCGTTACGGAATTTCTGGATTCGGTCCCCACGCTGAAGGCCCGCGATAGAAGCTATGCAATAGCTTAAAAAAAATTGTAATTATTATGTTTTTATATTTTATTTCATAAACTTATATTCCTGAGTTTATTTTGAAATTATACTTCTTTTGGCACGTTTGGAAAAAAATATAATAGTAAAATTTCTACGATTCGCGCGCACACCGACAGACAAAAAGCGACATGAAATTAGTTGAAAGCGACATAATGAAGTCAGTTGCGTTCCTCTTTCAAACAGAGTTATGACAACTGACATACGGAATAAAATCTTGTGTCTAGATCAGTCTGTTACGCCAAAGTATAACTTTACATACATTCACTATTATCGTTTAGAGAAAAATGTTAATATCTAAACCTTTATGTACAATTTGAATAAATGAAATAAGTAGTATATTGGCGCCAAAATCCAAATACGTTGCACAGACTGTAGTTTAAAAGTCCAGCATACATGCAATGCAGCCAACACTTAGAGAGCAATACTTCTGTCGAAGAAGAGCGCCCTGGTGCTAAATTAGAAAAACATAGTGATGTAAGCTGTGTAATAAATAATATTATTATACCTATGTTAATGTTTTCATTATTGTATTCTAATTGTTATTATTATTACTAGCGGCTCACCCTCGCTTCGCTCGGGTTCGTCGCTAGGTACGTTTTAAATAGATATAAATAGTTATTAGCCAGCGTTAGCCATACAAAATTTTTTTTTCGTAAATTTTTCTGATGTTTTAATATTTATTATCCTATTCCGGACTAACTAAGAAATCCAAAAATTCAAATATCTATAGCCGTTCTTGAGTTTTATGTCACGTCACAACGGACACGCAATCGAACGGGATAAAAAGTATCCTATATCCGTCTCCTGGTTCTAAACTACCTCCCCACTAATTTTCAGCCAAATCGGTTCAGCAGTTCTTGAGTTATAAATAGTGTAACTAACACGACTTTCTTTTATATATATAGAAGATTTTTAGTTTTAACTTTAATTAATCAAATGCCTTATACCAATTTTGCCTTGTCACTTGTGCTCTAATTTGTTATATTTTTAAGTGGAAACTTCGCTGGCTTATGTATTATTTATATCTGATTAATTCTAAGTATTATTGTACTGTATGTTTCCCAAATATTTTAAAAATAAAATAAAACATAAACTAATATGGACGACTCGAAAGAACCTGTTTTTGGGTTTTCCCGTGGGAATGAGATATTGAATGATGAATTAAATTATAAATTATTATTATAGAAAATTTAGTTACAATCGTTACTGACAGGCAAAATTTTCAATTAATATTGTTAGTGTTCTTAGGTCTAAAAAAAGCGTCTTAGGTCTAACGGTCATTATTTTTAAAAATATTTTATGTATAGATTTGACTTTGTTACTAAAATAACTTCAGTACACAAAATCATAAGACATTTTTTATTAGCATAAAGACATGAATGAATGACATACATAAGAATCGAACATAAGAATATTTTTTAAAATTACAAAAGAGTGTACATGTAAAGAGTATTTATAACATTCCTCCGGGGCTACTTTTTTTTAACATCATTCCTTAATCACATTTCTTCAATCAACCTTCGTGGCGGTTTTATAGTACGTTTACTACGTCGTTGTATCGCTTTATATTCTCTATCCTTATTCGATTCATTGGTTAGCCTGTCTTGTTCGATTGTTTCTGCTATTAGGCTTCCGGGTCTAGGTGTTGATTGTATCGTTATCGTTTCTGTGGGTGTAATATTAGGAATCGAGGCTTTTATCGGAGTCACTGGTTCCGTAGATTTTTCAGATGAATTTGGTTGTTTTCTGTCTGGTGCTTTGTGTTCAAACCATGTTGAGCTGATTGGTGTATGTTCAGCTTTTGTATCATTTTCTCTATACATGGCTCTTGGCCTAATATGATCTGCATGCATTCGCCTTTCTGTTCCATCGGGTGTATTGACTTTATATGAGTATTTATGTGTTCTCTGCTTAATAACACCTGGCTTCCACTGTTTCATCACTTTATCTCGAATATAAACGTTATCTCCGGGTCTAAAAGCTTTTGTATTTTCGTTCAGAATGTCTGCTTGTAATTGCTTAAATCTCAATTGATGCTTT